TCGGCGGGTCGACGGAACCCCAGAAAGGAAATTTTCCGCATGAGTCATGTGAGCAGTCACGCGAGCGGCCCGTCGCGGGAGCGGCCGGCGCGGTATGCGCTGGGGGAGACGACGTGGCGCCATTGAGTCAGAGCGAGAGGGTTGCAACGCTCTCGCCTGTAGCGGAAAGTGGGAGCGAGCTGCCGAGAGTTGATCGAGAGACGCTCATTCGAGGGCAGCGTGAGGATCTCTCGATTGAAGCGCTAGTGGAAAGCCAAATTGAAGCGCGAGTGGAAAGCCAGAAAAACGCGGCAAAAGTGCTGTCGAAGGAGCACTACGAGAAATCGGGGAAGAAGCGCGCTTTTGAAGTTGATAATCAGGTAATGCGGCTGCAGCCACCCAAAAGGAACAAGCTTGAGGTTGATTGGGAAGGGCCCGCCAAAGTATTATCGAAGCCTTGCGATACAAATTATGAAGTGAAATTAGGAAGGCGGCTGGACAAAATTTACAACTTGATGAAACCATACGTTCAACATCAAGCGATCGTAAATCTGTTGTTGAATGCTTCAGAGGAAGAGGAAGCAGAAAGTTTGAGTTCTAGTGAGGTAATCGAAGGGGGATCGAAAGTAATCCGGGAGCAGATAAACCTAGAGCCTAGCTTAAGTGAAGGAGGACCTGAGAAAGAGGACCTGAGAAAGATTGGTTCCGAGTTTGAAGACGTGTTTTCGGACTGCCCCGGAAACATGAGGGTGATCGAACACGATATCGAGCTAAGCGGTGAGGAGTCAATCCGTAGCAAGCCGTATCGTTGTTCCCCTGTGCAACGTCGAAAGTGTGAGCCGCTCTTGGTGCCGCATAGGTATCGTCGCCTAAAAGTGGCCGGTTACTGAAGTGGAGCATGTTGCTCCACAGCGCAACTTTGACGTTCGCTAAAGAAAAAAAAAAAAAAAGGTAAACGCTAATGCAGGTGCATTGAGCAGTGCGTTCCAGCTAGTAACTTCTCAACCTTTCGGTTTCTCGCTGGCGATTCGGGGCAAAATTTTGACCTCATCACGACCTGGGCTGAGCGCTCTCGTTCAGAGTGATCTCAAGGGGCCAACTTTGTGGTATTCTACTCCGTTACGTTGTTGTAAGTGTGAAAAATTCAAGTTCTTACTTTAAGGGTCTTTTGTCCCACATGTGCCTCTTGATGTAGAGGGAACAAAATTCCGATAGACACGTAGATAGGTATATGTTGTACTATACTTTGTCTGGTGTTCTGTCGGGTGACCGAGGGCACTTGCGTGTGTCGTGTGTTGTCTGTTGTCGATCCGTTCTTGGCAAGTTGCAGAACCATCGACAAGTGCTGAAACCGAGGATGGTCAGAAGAGACGAGTGAAGCTGGTCGACAAGGTGTGGCGACGAGCCAGTGGAGCTGGGATCCGTCGTCAAAAATGGGATGTGTTCCCGGAACAGTTTGGAGCTGTATTCTCCCCATGGCCCTGGAGGCGAACCTGGAGGGACCTGGCGAACGAGCGCACCTGACATCCGAGCCCCGTGGAAGCAGCTCGTCTTTCCGGTGCATTGTCTGGCGGCGGGGGTGCTGTTATGCCAGCGAGTCCTCGTCAAACGACCGTGCCTCTGAAAAAGGCAATCTGGGTCAAGGCCAGCCCGCAGTCTGCCTGGCGCGATCACCTCGACGGCGTGAACACGCGCGGCGCTCCTCTGGCCCACGTGCAGTGAGTCAGTTGCGCACGTGACAGCGAGCCGGCGTCCTCGTGTCAGGTGGTCTGACGCATGGCGCGGCGGCCCCCATTGGCGGAATCTGCCCGGACGACCCGCGGCGCTTCTGATTGGACACTTTGGTTGGACCCGGTGTAAATAAAAGAAGCCCTGCGGCGCGTCGCGATCGGCGTTCCTATGAGCGAGGAGACCCCATGTCGGAGGGCCGACATGTATGCGAGTCAGCGGTTTTAGGCGAAAGGCTGACCTATGTATTAGAGAGAGGAGCTCGGCTCTTCGAGTCTCTGCCGGCCCCAGTGCCGAAATTGTAACGCCTCTGTAAATATGCTGTACGTAAACCTTGTTTAACTCACCGTCGTCTCGTCCGCTCGTCTTATCAGCTCTGCGCAGAAGCAGTCGCGAGCTGATAAACATACGCTACCAAACGGCTGGTGACCTTCCCGGCGGAGTTGAAAGCAGTGGCGCCTCCGGGGCCGTGTTGGCGTCGCCGTCTTTCGCAACAGTGGTGGCTTCGGCGGGATCGGTCCGCCGTTTCTCAACAGCACCCAAAGAGCAGTATTGGGGTACATCTGGGGAATTACACTGTTCGCGAAAAATGCCCCTCTGTCATTTCCCATTTGCACTCTACAAACGTATTCAGGCTGCGCCCCTGACATCAAAACAACAAAGAAAAGAAGCACTAAAGAATGATGGATTAAAAAAAAAAGCGTTCTACAATGTAAGGAAGGGAGCAAAGTGAAATGTTGGGCTGGTTGGTTTTTCATTACTGGAAGAAATTGCGCTACAATTGCTGTGGAAAACTAAGTTAGGGAAGAGAAAAAAAGAAGTGGACAGAACATGCGCTTGTACTGTTTACTTCTTTTTTGTCTCGTCCCTAACTTCGCTTTCCGCAGCAATTGTGGCGCAATTTTTTTCAGTCAGTAAAGAAGGGAATACCTTATTTATTTGCTTCAAACACGTGAAAAGTAAGTGCGCGCGTGATCATAACGGTGGCGGGGCATCGAGTCATCCGTACACAAGGTGGTCCAAAAAAATGTGCGGATGTACCTTCTCAGAAAAATAACAAATGCCACCGCACTCGAAGTACAAGGTGGCGAACATGTGTCGGCGCCCTAGGTTGGCAACATCAACAAACACTCCGTTGACAAAGGGGGCGAGAGCGATAAAATTCCACCGTGAAAGTGGAAGACACCTCTTGGTGACCTTCCCCGCAAAAAGACAACGACACCGTGCAACAATGTGGTATACAAAGCTGACAGGTAGATATCGTTTTTCGGGTGCAATCCTGCGAGTTATGCGTAGGCGCCCCCCCCCCCCCCTCCACTCCTAAAAAAAGAACGCCTAGCTCCGACTCCTGGGTTATTCGTGTTTACGGAGTAGAGCACTGCTTACGAGAATCTTCTCGGTGCAGTTCGATACGCAAAGGGAGTTGGAACAACCGCGAATGCGGAAAGAATACGTAGTGAGGCGTGTGGTGTATGTTGTATATGTACATCTCTCTCGAGGTTTCTCTCAGTGGAGAACGAATAAAAGAAAGTTTTTTTCCCTCGTGCAACACAAGGGAGGGGCGACGGAGATATAGAGAGATTCGGTCGTTATTTGATTGGCTTTTGTTGTTTCTATGCGTCGCCTGCGGCAGCTACGCAACGGCCGCTTCCCCACCCCGCAATGCATGTGTGTGTGTGCGCGTGCGTGTGTATGTGCGTGTGCGTGTGTGTGTGTTTGTTTGTGTGTGTGCGTGTGCGTGTGCGTGTGCGCGCGCACCAGCCGCGCGGTTGGGTCTGGTCGTCGAGTGTTTATAGATCATCATCTCTCCGGCTAGCAGCTTTACACTGTCACTTCAACAGCCAGTCAGTCAGTCATGAAGGGTACATGCCCGCTTCGAGCGGCGCAGAAATAACAGATTTTTTTTCGTTTTTGTTCTGTCTGTCATTGGTCCACTGTTGTCGAAAGCGCCGGTCCTAGCCCCGTGAAAAAGCGTTCGCGCTACGCGGAAAATGTGATGATGGTGATGGCACAAGAAAAAAAAGAAAGCTTGAAATATCGCACGAAAAAAAAACAAAAAAGAAACACCAAGGACACATAACTATCGAGTGATACTCAACAGTTCAAAGCCATAACAGCGAAACTTCGAAATGAAAAGGCACACGCTATTGACGTCAGTGGTTTCTGCCGTTCAACGTTCACCTTGAAACAGCACCTGATGCGACGAAATGTAAATCTTATTTCGGTCATGTCATACAAGTGTTATCGTCAGTGGATGCTACATGGATCATCTGGGGGCACCTGAGGTATTTTATTTTTACTTCAAATGATTGTCATATATGAAAGGGGGGCAGTGCGCCGTAAGACGTCGCGTATGAGTAAAGTACATTGGTGCGAAAAGAACGGCAATTTTGCCCCTGAGGTGGAGGCGTGCCACACGTAATTTCCTGAGAAATTCAGACAGTCATGGCAGCTAAGGATTATCGATATCATCTGCGGAGCTGTTTGGCACGACTTGTATTGAACAAGGGGAATGGGAGGCTCCGAGAACGAAAAAATTATTTAGCCTTAAAGTTTTTCTCGGTTATTTACACCTGTCTTGCTCCAGCATGCTGTGAGGTGCAGTCACTGTATTCGAAAAAAAAAATAGCTTCAAACTTGCTGAAATGAACAGTTCCGTAATACATTTAGCCTGACTGAACAGCGCTCGCTTGCGAGGCGTGCAGGAATCAATGAATGACTGGCTATTTTGTACAATGATCATACCTGGTGGAAGCCATCGAAGGCGGCTTCAACCGTGTCACGTGGCAGAAAATCTGAACGTCACAAGGTGCGCTTAACTTTCGCAGGATACAGCATGCCGGAAGGATCAAACGAAGAGCTGCTCAGCCCGGCCTAATTTTGGGCCGATTATGTAGGTTAGCAGTTGAACACTCTGAAAACGAGCTGTTACGCAAGTTGATCAAGTATTCGAGTTGTTCACCGCTGCAGCCATGTCCTGATCAAATTTTTACATTGATGTTTCTTTTTAGGTCAGAAGGCGAACGAAACACAAAGTCCCGACTACCAAACATTGAGTAAAGCTTCACGGTGACTCGAAAAAATGTTTAATGTGTCGGCTGCAAATCCCACATCTGGCACTGCCCGTAAGAAGGCTCGCTTTATCTGTCCTTCTAGTACGCTGTATCACTGCTGTTTTATAGCATCAAATGAAAAACTCCTAGGACAAGTGCAGAATCAAAAAGATCAAGACACTGGAAAAGGCAGAAAACATAGGCGTTACTAAATAATTTAAAAAATCAACAAAGTAACACAAGAAACTATAGCAGCGTGGTGTTCACAAATGAAGGGCGTTCAGTAGATGGGCGGGATGTGGGAGTAGTTAAGCTCGAACGTGGGAGGCTGGACCAGCATGGACTGACTGGCTGTGAGGTTGTGTCAAGGAGCGTAAAGAGATAGCGCTTGCACAATCTTCGGATCCTGCTTGGAGCCCTCGCGGAACTCCTCCAACGTAAGCCGGTTGTCGTGGTTCTGCGCAGAAAGGAGGCAAGTAAAAAAAAAAGATAAATAGCAATTAGTAACAAACTAACGTGAGGAAAATGCGAACAACCGCAACCGTACAAGAAAAGCACACGAGTATTCGTTTTCGACAAAGCATGTTTTTTGTTACTATGGAAGATTTGTAACCATTTCTGACTTTAAGAGGATGCAATACTTCCTGCCACCCAATACTCTCATGCTTAGCGCGTAGCGGCAATTGGACATCATTACTTTAAAGGGCGCTTCGAATGCATTGTTATCACTTAAACTTCATATTGAATTCATGTACTGCTTTCACTTTACAGCAACCCAAACGACATGCCCAAACGTAAGGAACACTTTTTTTCGAATGCTGCGAGTTGCATATCAGCATAATGTATCGCTGTGGAAATCTTCTCAGTACATTCTCTATTACGTTACCTCTAATATTAACTTACTATGGCATCAAAAGTTTTCATCACAAGATAGGGAAAGTGGAAATAACACTGGCCATAAAAAATTCGTGAAGTATACCTTACAGAAAATAACAAAAAGAAGAGGTTTCAATGTTGATTCATAAATGTTTTATGAAAGGTCTAGCCGCAGTACCATACTGCCTTCAATAGCCCGTCTGCCTTAAGCGAAGCGACGAAAGCACACGACAGTGCGGGTCCCTAAAGTGCTCTTCGCTTATCAACATCTAGGCTCTCAAAGAACAAGTGGAAGAAGACCTCTTGGCCCAAGCGTGTGCCCAATATGGTACAGAAGGCTGTGCTATAGATGGTTTCCCTGCATTACTTTAAGTGACTATGACAGTCTAAAACAGCTGTATATGACAGCCCAGCCCCTTGACGTGCCCTGCACTTTGAAAACAAAAGGGGGGGGGGGGGCATTAGTCACAAAATATCCTCTAAGTGTACATGCCTTGAAAACTCACTGTATTGAATTCATCAGTTCAATCACATATTGCGATACGACCACATAAAAACGTTATTCGAGATGTTGCAGTCAGTTGAGTATTTACTGGGGCTTTTCATGCTATATTATTAGCATCCTCGTGAAGCCTGTATACTTCAGGCAGCCCAACATTTGCTTACTATGGCAATATATTGCTTTCAAAACAATCCGTAACGACTAAAGGACACAAAAGCAAGTAAGGTCAAACAGTTCATCCTCTTTGTTTCTGCCGCTTTTTTTTTTTGCATAGTGACATGACAATATTGGCACCATCTAGTTCGTCCTGCAGCATCCTGAGGTACAATTCTCCGTGGAGCTTTCGTTAAAGCAGTCTTGAAAGTACTGAGTGCGCAGGTTGACCTTCGAAAGATTTATCGGCTCGTCATTCCACAATGCGGGTAATTTCATCCGCTCTGAAAAGTACAGCTTAAACGGTTGCGTGTAATTCGTCGTTCGTTACTCTTCTATATATTGACAATCAACAAGCTATTTCAGCGAGCAAAATCATTCACAAAGGCCCGTATAACGCTGTAATACGTTCTGGCCGCCATAAGTGTATACGTTCTGACAAGATAATCATGTGTGATTTTTTTCAATGGTATTAAAACAGAATGTTTGGGTGGCATCACCGAGGTTTACAAAACGCTTCACAAACGCGCTTTCGGAACTGCTCCGAAATATTCCTAATTACGCACGAAAAACACAAGGAAATGTGATTCACTGAAGAACCCGTTCTTGTTGAAGACTTCATATCAGCCGATTAGACGTTTTACTAGCTCATGTGATCATAGCTAGTGTTCGGCATTTCTTTACACACACTTGAATATGTTTCGCACATCCTATATTAAAACACTGATCATTTCGCCTTCACAAGAGCGATTAGCGCTGTTCTTGTAGTTGCCTCATAAGTGTTTTATGAGGTCAAGGTTTTCGTAGTCGAAAATAGCACTAACATTCATTTTATTTTTCTTATCTATAAGGTGGTTGCAAAAGTTAACCTCCATCAACACGTTCACAAAAGGGTAATGATGCTCAGTAAAAGAGAGATGGCATTTCAAGTCGGGATGAAGAAGCAATGTGTGGGAGCAAGCTAGTTAGTGTTCCACATTTAAAAGGTACAGCGTAAAACGTACACAACCGCACATAGAAGCGACAATTAGAGCGCAGTCCTTATCGCTTCTTTGTTTTCTGTGTACGTTAAGCATTGAACATTTTATATATGAGAAAAGGAAGCCGTGGTTTGAGAGTCACACGGCATTATACGTTCGCGAAGAAGAAGACTCACTTTGTCCAGTTGATCGAATATCTTGTCAACTCTTTCCTGGGGGGATTCCTCTTGTTCGGACTCTTTCGTCTGGTTTCCCTGCATATAGAGAAAAATGTCTTGCATCACGCGTAACGAAGTTGGTAACAAAATAGAGCAATGGGAAAGCGAACACAGCATTCCGAGAGGATTGTGCTCCAGCAATAGAAATTTACTGAAGCCCCGTTGGCAGTTAAGAAAGTAGTTGCCACTCTTTTACTATCCCTTATTCCATTTTCAATGTGTCATGTAAGAAATTTGAAAAAAAAACCCTGCCAGGCATGCGTGGAACGCGCAGCACAGTCACAGCGAAATTTCCATAAGCAGTCTCTCAGAGCCTTTTTTAAAACTCTTTGGGTAACTGCCACAAGCATGCTTGCAGGGTACCCACTACGCCATAAATAATGGTAATTTTGTGTAGTATGCCAGCATTCCCTATTCTTCGTCATTCTTCAGAGAAGCGTGGTACCAGCTACACACTTGTGAGGTATTTTGTGCATTTTTTTGCTGTGGCTGACGACGATGAAGAATCATGCCTGAAGCTTTTGTAATTGGGTTGCAGTCTTCGACGATCCACTTGTTATGCAATTCGCATTGTGTGACATCTGGTTGTACATTACTGCTCTAAACCGCTTTATTATTCATATTTACTCGATTGTTTCCGACATGACGCCTGCTTAAGGTCAGTTTGAAACAGAGTGTCATGCACAGGCGTGGCTCTGTGGTAGAATATTGAACTGGCAGGAGAACTATGTTCAAATCTTTCTGCGTTCTTGGTGTGTTTTGTTTATTACTTAGATTTTTATCTTATTTCGCACGATTGTGCTTACGGACACCAGCGGCGACGGACAACTTCTGCGCAAGCGACCCTTGTTCTGATCACATAACAGCTTTCGCTGTTAAAAAAACACACACTCCTCCAGTTAAACTCGTTGCATGTCACTGAAACGCTCTTCATCTCTCTCTATCCCAGAAAGCTGCATTACTCATATAACTAAAAGTGCGGTTAAACGTAGACCGATGAAGACGAGACAAGGCGAAATCGAGACACAGACACACCCCTTCTTCCCCCATTCGTCTTAATCCACCATCGTGAGTCTTCTTTCTCTAAACTCTTAGGATATGTTCTAAAAACAAGACCACAAGATAGTCACTGCAATTGACCTATCATTCAAATGCAATAAAATTATGCATTTTGCACGAGGGGACACAAGTTAGTATGAGCAACATAATGGCGTTGATCGCGAGAGGTGGATGTGGGGTAAGTAGAACGTAGCTCTTTTAGAAAAAAAAATGAGACCACGAAATTGATGGACTAGTGCATCCAGCTGACAATGCAACAACTAAAAGTAATTCAATAGCCTGAGAACAAAACTACAAATACTGAGGATCCCTATCGGAAAAATTGCCATGGTGGATACTAGAAAACATGGTGGGCGTAGTGGAAATAATAGTGGGCATGGTGGAAATTATGATGGATATGGTGGGACGTAGTGGGAAACATGGTGGATATGCCGGGACATACTGGGTGGTATGGTGTACAGATGATGGGTAAAGTGGAAATGATGGTGGAAAGCAGAGGCTAGGTAGTGGGCAATAATGGGACACTCTGCCGACCATTGCGATAATACTGGGAAGCCCTAAGCATATGGTGGGTGGTGATTATTATGGTGGGCCACATGGTGTACCAAGCTGAGAAACTCTTCCCACCATTGCGATAATGCTGGGAAGCACTAAGCAGATGATGGGTGCTGCTTCTTATGGTGGGCCACATGGTGTACCAAGCTGAGAAGCTCTGCCCACCATTGCGATAATGCTGAGAAGCAGTAAGCAGTTGATGGGTGGGCTTATAATGGCGGGCAATTTATACAGTGTACCAAGCTGGGATCTGTACACTACATGTTCTACCACCATGATTTCCACCAAAGCTTAGGCCTACCGACCGAGCCCGTACAATTGTGTTATCCGTGCTTCCGGCTTTCAGAATACACGATTTCGACGATTAAGAATGACAATACAGCGCAGCCATCGCATCAATTAACCTAAATGAAGCATTTTTCATTGTCATTCATTTTTTCATGTCATTCATGTCATTCATTTCATCCTTGTTTTTCATGTTTTCATGTCATTCATGTTTTTCATTTTTCATTTTCCGCTCAAGAAGCAAAAAACATCGATGCGACGCGATCAAAGCACTCCCAGAGAACGTACGTCTCTTCTCACCGACAGCCGCTGGTCGCACTTGCCCGCACTTTTCTAGCTTTTATGCCAGAACTCAGACGTGGCAATTTGTATGCTTGGGGAACCAATATGATAGCGTAATGTTTCCGGCACGCTGCATTCGTTTTGGCCAAGCCGTTATGTAGTTGTTCCTTTAGCGAAAGAGCTACAGCATTGCGCTGGCACGACTGCCCTCTACATTGCGCGAAAAGCATCCCAATGCTCAATCAAATAAATTAGGCGGGCGTATCTATGGAATGAGCCTAGAAGCGTCATAAGCGTGAGCAGATGTCGCCCTTTAGAACGAGCGCGAAGCGGATATTAAACTTGGCAGACCCCGCCGGTAAACTATTGCTGCTCCCCAGTCTACTTGGTTTTTTTTTTTCTTGCAGTTGTCAATTGTAAAAAAAATAGCACTTATGCCATTAACACAGTGGCATTCATCACAGGCAGCAGTTTCTCGTGTTTAATAAATGTGCAATTTTTAGTAGCAGGTGCAGATCTCGTCTATGTCGTGTACACGACAAACGTAACTGAAGTTGAACCGTAAATTTGTATGACAACTGACTATTTAACACAAACTCAACCTCATGTTGGTATGGCGCAGTAGTTGGTGTCTCCGAATAAGAATCCGCAGGTTGCACGTTCGATCCTCCGTGGCACCTTGTTTTTTTTCTACGGGACGGGTGTTTCTTATACTGTTTTTATAGAATTCTTTTTTATTTTTTGTGGCAGCTCGTCACGGTGATTCTGACGCCATTTCGCGCTCAAGCGATGCCGGCACTGCAGCACCCACCATATCCCACCATGCGCCATGGTGGGCGTTTGCCACCATTCACCCACTACATTAATCCACTATAATGGTGGGTGGTGGTTTACACCATGCCCACCATTCGTTTTTTTCCGATAGGGGATGGTTGAAGGGTAGTGCTGCTTTTCATCTATAGATAAAGAAATATTTAGATAACTATACACTGACGCAGTATAATGCATAAGCGGCAAGCTGGTTGCAAGACCATATGATCTCGAAACAATTCTTGTGTTAACACTAAAATGAAAAAACATTTTGAAAAAACGCCACGTTTTGGTTTTATAGTTTACTGGCCCTTTTTATATTTAAGCAGACTTGCGTCTTGCAACATTAACCATCTGAACTATAGTTGAGTAATATGTTCTTCCCTTTATTTCACTCTACAATATTTTGTCAAATTTACAATGGATCATTTAGGGGGGGGGGCGGATTGCTTCAGGTCACTGAGGAACAAATCAACCTACCATTGACAGCGTCTCTGCATTGGGTTCCCGCCAATGCGTGGCACAATAACATTCCGCATACCAGAGCACGAAAGTGTACTGTACGAATTGATTTTGTTATGCTCGAGCATGTTTTGGGGCGTGCTGACGACACCCTGTAATAGTACTGACAACCAATTTTTCTCGAAGCAGTTTGTTACGGCGCAACGAAAAGCGCCCCTCAGTTGTGGGTAAACCTGCAGAGGTCGATTCCGAAAGCACGTTGGTATTTTGTAAGAAGAATTAGTCAATTTGAGGTGCCCGTAAAGAAGAAGTGCGGCTGCCTCTTCCAGCAACGCGTAGAAATGATAGCGATACCGTTAGCCCTGCTCGCTGTTAGTTTCACTCAACGTTTTTCACTGGAGTGACTACAACTGCGATTAACCACCTTCACTTTGCTATTTTAATTACTTTTTATTATAAAAAGCCGCTATATTATTTCTTTCTGAACTTTCGTAGTCGCGTGAAACCCTTTTAGGCAATCGTGGTACTTCTCCAACTTTTCTGCAGGTACCGCTATAGTACCCCAGCCAACTTGTATCTGCCCATGGCCTCCTCGATCGGCCCCGTTGCTGGAGCTAATCGCGGAGGCCGCATACTGCCATTCATGAGCATCACATTGTACGCCATGTGGAGGTGGCGCTGCTCTTCTGCTCACCACAAACGAAAGTGTATCGGTGCATTTCAGGTTAGAAAAGAAGTAATAAAAATATGTACCGTATTTCAACACTAATATAGATGGCATAAACCACATGTACCACTAAAAAGATCAGAGGATCGCAATCATACGCTGATTCACTTTTTTTTCCACGTGAGGCGCTAGAAGTGGCTTCAACTAAGCCTATACCTGTAGACAAGGCATTATAGGCCAGCTTGGAAAGAAAATAAAGAAAAATCTCTTTTTCTTATTTTTTCTTTCTTTTATGGTGAGTCAGGCACCATGCGTGCCACACTGTACCGTTATAAAAGGGACGCTCATAGCATTCCTTCTTACATTTATAAAAAAACAAAAAACTAAATCCAAATCCCCTTCTAATAAGAAAAAAACAGGGTTCGCTTCAGCCAATACGATATACAATCTTTCCATTGGTGGGGCTAAATAATTTCAAGTTCTTCGTGGTCGTCCGTCCCTTTAATGCTGGTCATTTGAGTGAGTGTCAGCTCACTTCACGGCTCCGCTAAACCTTGGCACTCGCACCTCGCTGGCACTGGTGCAAAACGACAGCTGATTGCGTGTCACCGGCCGCTTGCGATGAGGGGGCAAACAGAGTGGAGCGTGGTGGTGTGCTCTGCGCGAAATACCGCATTAAATTCCACCACCTGCTCATTTGTTTGTTTGGGTGTGCGCACTAATATATATATATATATATATATATATATATATGTGTGTGTGTGTGTGTGTGTGTGTGTGTGTGTGTGTGTGTGTGTGTGTGTGTGTGTGTGTGTGTGTGTGTGTGTGTGTGTGTGCGTGTGTGTGAACGCGTGTGGCTGCAACACATTTGAGATGCAGCTAAACGGAAACAAAAAAATCACTACGGCTCTTTGCTGCACTTGAGAACAACGGGTCCAACAATTATCACTCCCATCATGCGTGTGTCGTAACCAAAGATGCATGATGGGAGTGATAACGGTGCCGTAAAAATCACTGCCCTTTCCGCCATTACGTTGCTCGGCGCCACCCGAGTGTAGACGGTATCGGGGTGCGACACTATTCCCCATGAGCTCATGGGTTCTGGCTTAGACTACTTCCGATAGTAACTGAAAATATCTAAGTCTTACCAGACATCAGGAATATAATGCAGGTAATCTTGAAAAAAAAAAGCAGTAAGGGGGAGTTCTTGTGGCAGTGAAGCGATGCGAGCAAGAATATTCCGCTGGTCTGAGGCAATTCAACCATTCCGCTGGTGTGAGGTCAGTCAACCATTGCTCATTGACTTTGTGTTCAACTGCTGGGCTTACGTGCATTCTTCAGGCGCCATCATATATATAGTGATGAGACAATATCACCAAAGAGCCAGTACGAACACGCATATATATATAAGGGAAAGAAGTGTATACATAAGGGCTCATTTTTCCGTGTTTTGACACAATATAACAAGATCTGACAGACAAGAATGCCAAGGAATGTATAGGGAAAATTACTAAAACCAATGTAAAATAAATAAGAAGAAAGAAAAGTGGGTGAAAAAATAACTTGCCATGAGCAGGAATCGAAGCTACGACCTCCGAATAACGTGATATATATATATATATATATATATATATATATGGAGACCTTCTGTAGGCTTTCTGATATCAAGCATACATAGAAGACAAATATACCAGTCGCCAACGCCAGTGTCTGTCTGGCCGCACACAGACAACCACTGTTACCCCACGGGACGGCGGCCAATGGGAGGCCACCGACGGTGACGTCTGATTAACGGGGCGCATTTGTTCAGCAAATCATGCGAACTGAAGCTCTCCGCGACGATGACTAACGACAGGAGGCTATAGGAGTGTAGCAGCTTGGGCTAGTTGGTATGACATGACGATAGTTATAGCGCGAGAACAGAACCTTCCTGTCCTTCTCGTCTCTGTGTCGTCGTTCTGTTCTCGCGCTATAACTATCGTCGTGGCTATAGGGTTACGAAGGAGACTCTAAGGATCGCCTGCGAATGTTGGTTGGGCGGTTGACGTTGGTTGCTCTAGCACTGCCGCTCGATTTTCCCCTTCCGAAGGGGGAGATCGAGGGGCCGTGTCTCTATAGTATACGTCAGACCGAGGTAAATGTGATACCTCGGCTGTGCTCCATTACTCACCAGCATCTGATAGATGGCGTCTACGATGTTGTACATCTCATCTCTCGTGATGAATCCGTCGTTGTCGACGTCATAAAGTTTGAAGGCCCCTGCGAAATGGTCGATGGAGAGGTGGGGGGCGAAAGTGAGGCAATGCAAAACATGAAGGGGCCATGTCAGAGAACACAGCAATGACACCACTGCTTGAATGGCGGTGATAAACCACTTGAATTCTGAAGACAGCAAGAGCGACTCCTCGCGTGGCAAGACGCGCACTCTTTTCTTTTTTTCTCCAGATGTTTATTGTGCAGCGCAGAAGCGTAAGCGACTTGTGCAACGTCCAAGTCAACTAGTTGCGTCGAGCAAATGCACACATAAGCTGTTTATGCCGGTAAATGCTTGGTGAAAAAATTGTCGTAAATAAAAAAAGAAACCTTTGTGAACGTATTTTCATCTTTATCTGACCGTTCTAAAGTTAGAGTCGTTTTATCTATGATTCAAAGTGGTCCAGTCGCCTTTGCGCACTTGTAAGGCATAAGAAGTGCCGCCAAGGAAGCATGAATCACAACTAGGAGTGAGAACACATTAATCTACAGCAAGGACACTCAATAAAAAAAAGAGAGAGAGAAACAATCTACAGAGTGTAAGAGCCTTATTTTCAAGCCGTATGCAACGGAAAGTTTAAAAAAGAACGATTTTAGAGAGAACCTAAATGTGATTGGCCATTCCGCAAAGACGATCAAGTCTCGACGATATCTTGTGTCGCACAGGCGATGCTCTCTTGAAAACTAAAACAAAAAGTCGACGTAGGACGCTTCGATCATCGATTAAGTTAAGCTCTTTAAAGCGAGGGCTTCCGTAAGCACCAATGTCACGCGCCATTAGGCTTCAAAGTTCGATTTTCTAGGTTGCAAGCTTATACAAGCATTTTTATACCCGTTAAAGGTATCTAGAATGGTTTGGGCATTTAAATAATGACAGCGCTAACAGCCAGTTGCAGAGGATGCAAAGTAAGTGACCGTCGAATGAAAATAACAAATTTTCTAATAACACTGACATTAATTCTGCTAAATTGAACACACCTGCGCGTGAGTTTTTTGCTAGGGCATGCGCGGAGAGAATAGGGAGACGGAGAGGAGGGAGGATTTAAAAGAATTACAATGTCATACGTCCAGCGCAGTGCTCAAAAAATATTTACCTTGTGGTTCCTAAGGTTCTTAAGGCCCCACATAAAATCCGTACGATCGTCTGGTGAAAGTTTTGCTTTTTTGAAGCAGCTTTTGCTGGTTGTCTCGTTTAATGAATAGACCACCACGCACGTTTCTTTTTGCAGCCAAGCACTGCGCACAGCTTCAGTAAGCTTTAAAGTTATACAAATAAAATGACTAAATGGAAGCTACGTGGTGCTTTGGTGGTTCGCCATGCAGTTAATATAAGTAGTTCTCACCGAGTCTGAAATAAATGCAGGTTCTTGAAATGCTGAGCAACGTACAGCGTCAAAGAGAAAGTGGTTTCTTCTTTGTTGTCATCGTTTTGCGGTCGCAGTTTGGCGGACAATGCATGTTGTTTGGTTGATGATATGGAATAAACTCTTTTTTTTCAAGTATCAACGGTTTCAAAAGGAAACGCTGAAATGTAAAAACGTGCAATGGCCCTATGCGTAACTTGCTTTCTCAAAATGTTCTAACAGAATTAATGTCCGCGGATTCCTTGCAAGCACAAATCTCGCTTTGAATGCACAACGTGAAATCATTATTAATTGTTGGGGTTGAACATCCCGGCATGTCACATTATTACGTGAGATGCCGTAGTGAAGGCTTCCTGTAATTTTGACCACCTGGAGTTGTTTAACGTGCACGAAAGATTCACGTGCACGGGACACTACTATTTTCACCACTGTTGAAAATGCGGCTGCTGCTGCTGTTCTTCGACCCCACTACCTAAGCGTCAGTAGTGTAGCACCGTAATCACTATAGTCTATAGACCACCATCACGAGTAAAACGAGACTATTGCATACGATAAGAATTCTTCAGAAACTAGGGTGGGTGCATCATTTCCAGATGCAGTCATTTCGATTGGTAAAGCTTTTGAAAACTTGCTTCGTTCACAACCCTTCCTTTGTCCACGAAAACGAGGCTTTAAGGCTTTCTCCGCAATGACGATTCTTAGGCGGAGAGACGCTTGTGCTTGAATCGCCTTCTACTAAAACGCGACACAACAAGGCAGCGCTGTTGATCGTGACTTCTGTTGATCGAAGTGAACGCGTAGCACACAGTAGCTCTTATCCTCGTCAGTAATTTCTTCTATTGTACCTGTCTCAGTCATCACGCCAGTTTTCAATTATGTTGGACTGACTAGCCCAACAGTCACTATTTTTGATGCGCATATAGTATACACATGCATAATAATAATATTATCTGTGTTTAATGTCCCAAAACCACGATATGACTATGAGAGGTGCCGTAGCGGACAACTCCGTAACTTTCGACCATCTGGGGTTAACGAGCACCTAAATCTAATGTTCAATTCCAATGGCGGAGTAGGAGCAGCTGATGGACTCGGCGAGCGAGTACTTGACACTGGCGTAGAGCAACGCCTCTAAATCCACTACTGGAACACAATCCCCGCTGCCAGAGCAAGTACCGGTGAGCAAGCTAGAAGCGGAAGTCCTTGAGTGACCCAGAATACCTTGCGAGTAGTATTCCATCCCGCTAATTACACTTTCGAATTTTTCGTACGCGGTTATTGGCTGTCACTCTGCGACGAATGAATTTGCACAGTCGGCTATGTCGTCCGCCATTACTGCCAAAACACGCGACAGCGGTGGCACCCTCGAGCGGGCGAACGTATTAAGGGTCATTCACACAGCGGTCAAACACCCCATCCCATTATTGTCACGGTAGTATTCGCGCGCCGAGTTCCGGTCCACTTTTCCAGCCCCATGAAGCCACTCCCGCTCTGAATCCACTCCGTCTCTCTCATTGGAACACTTGATTCCCGCCCTCACTTTGACAACTCATTTGCCCCCAAAGGAGCAGAAAAACTTGCTCCGACTCCACCATTGGAATTCATTATAAATACACGGGCCTCAAACGACCTCGCTTACATCGAAAATGCAGCCATCGCAGCCAGGATTCGATCCCGCGACCTTCGAGTTGGCAGTGGAGCGCCATAACCACTGGGCCACCGCAGCGGGGCTACACATGGCTACAGTTACGTCTGAGATGAAGTTGCACATTACTCTTTATTAGCGTAAAAAATAATCTTGTTCGTAGTAGTTGATCAACGCATCTCTTGAATACCGGAATGTACTTTGTATAGTGTAGTGAGTGCATTTTCATCAAACCCCCTAATTATTTTTATTTATTTTTTGAGTCTACTACTGCGCGAAATGATTCCCCATTTCGTGTACCGAGGTAAACTGTGTATCTCGACATTGCATCTGCATTACTCGGCGCTACATGCTATAATGAAGGAAAACAATATACGTAAGGTCACCCGAAAGTCCATAAAATTAACGGACTCTACTTAGCATATATTTCTATCATGCTATTTTCTTTTTCCTGCGGAATAAACGCGAGCGCATGACATTTCTAGTCGCATTCCACGAATATCCATCACTGGTTCTCCAACACTAAGTTTAGGCTTCAGAATCCGCAACAAGTCATTGTGCGAACTCTTCAGCACGACAGAGTCGCAGGAATAGGCTTCCATTAGATCAGCGAACGCATGAGCTGCTGCTACGTACGCGACGAACGCAGAGGCCTTACAGCCTACGCACCACACGTGTAGCCTTACGCCTTCGGGAAGTCCCCATCGCAATATAGCTAGATACGAAAGGGAAAAGGAAAATTTCCCTAAAGACAGGGTACAGGCGAGCTTGTGATAGCGCTTCCATCATGTATGCATACGAGAGACTAAGCTTAGTGACGTCGCAGAACTCCTTTAAGGAGGAGACCTTGCCCAGAGAAACCAAATCGAGACTCTCGATAAGGGGAATAAAAGACGCCTGCCTGGTCCATATAGAGCGGACACGCGGGAGGTGCACACATATGGACGCGTGGTCAACGATATGCGCCAGATAAAGCCGGCGGTGGAAAATGGGGGGGGAGACGGGACGGCAATCCATCGCCCTAGCACGACCATCATTCGCGCGCCATTCTCTCAGCAATGATGGCAGCGAACCACGCGATTTGCGACGCCAAAACACCGAGAAATAACAGACGCGGCTGCCTGCTTATTGTTCTGCGACGAAGAAAGTGTCTATAATAACGTGGTCAGAAATGCAGAGGCGTGTGGAACGGAATGAAAACAAAAAAGAAACAGTGCGTGCGGAAAAGGGGGGGTCAAAAATAAGAAGGCAAGCCAGGCGCCTAAGCTGCATTAGCATACATTACCATATCACGTACGCACTCCCAGAAGGGATCAGGGCGTCCTAATGCTCTGTGCAAACTGTGCCTCTCGCCCACGCTTCCTCCGTCGATGGCATACGTATTTAATGCGGCTCCACCGGCACTGCCCGCCTTACTGGCTGGGCACACAGTGCACAGTGTGCCACACACGCGAAGCGCAAGTGCGACCGCGCAATATCTTCTGCCGCTCCGGAAGGAAATGCAGCCGTACGTCATTACTGCTCAGCGCCGCGAACTGAAGCAACAACGGCGTTTGTATACTTGCTGCAAACGGCGCGCGCGTGCCAACTCTGCTCGCCGCGCATGGCTAGTCTATATTTCGCGGGGGCCCATGCTTTACCGCGCCTGTGGGGAGCGCGCTAACGTTTATTGATTAGAGTCATTTAGTGAACTGGAGCCGATCCGGAGAGCCCGAGTAAACATCTCGAGGGAGGCGACGTGGACGCGCGAGTGCTACATGGCGTCTTCGCACATACTTCGTTGTTGCAGGCACGGACATGAAAAAAAAGAGGGGGAGGAGGGGTGCGTCCAACATACTGAGGGTTTGAAACTGGGGCATTGTTGCTTCGCAATCACGTGTTATCAGAATCGACAGCTTCGCTGCTACGCGTATACTTCGCGTAGACGCGATTTCCGATGCCTGAACAACAAATTCTGGCAGTACACTGCAGATAGCTTAAATAGGAGCCTACATGGTACACTGCGCAATGAAAGTCGACAGGCAAAGAGGCTAACCAAATAGTTTTGTGTTTCGTTACTTACCGTATTCAATGAATGAATGAACGAATGAATGAATGAATGAATGAATGAATGAATGAATGAATGAATTGATTTGAATTGAATATAAGGGTACTATAATACTCACAGACTAGCTTCTCGTCGAGACTGCCTCGTGAAGTCACAGAAAGTGCACGAATAAACTCCTCGAACTCGATTGAGCCGTCCTGAAAAGAAAACAGCGGCGTTGCTAATAAGGAACACTATGCCAATGGGCGTGAACAATTGACAGCACAGGGATTTTATCAACAAATAATTTCGTCCACACTGAATAAAAATAAAGCAACAGCACAAAAAGGCAGGACCAAAACTGAAGCACTTGCTAACTGAAAACTGAACTAACATCACCCAATATATCGTCATTCAAATTCAAAACAGCTAAAGAATAGTGCAGTTGATGCTGATTGGCCAACAACATCATTTCGGGTTTATAGTCACCTTTACTAAGTATGTGTACGGGTGCGTAGGTCACCCTTACTGCAATGCATCGAGTGGAAGAACTCCAAGGTCCCCATCTACAAATGTAAAATGCAGAGTAGTAATAAAAAAGCACTATAATATGCCTACTACACCTATTTATAGGTGTGCATTATCTAAGCTCAAAATGTGTGTTAAACAAAAACAACTCGTGAACATAGAGGATCATAAAATCATTTAGAGTACTGAGTGCTTTTCACGATCAAGAAAACTGCTACAGTTTCAAAAAGTAAGACATGAGTATTCTTTTCATGAAAAGCGAGATTTAAAGAGAGAAATCAATATTTACTGTTAATCATCATAAGCAACGCTAAACTAACTTCATGTTGAATACAATTACAATGATGGCATTTGGATTCTTACGTATACGAAATATGCAACGCTTAACATAATTTAGATTATACACATTCCACCGTGAAATAGGGTAGGCTACATAGGTCTGTGCTGCTAGCATTGACGGACTGCGGCACATACTTTTCTAAAACAGTCCGTGTGGAAAGAATGAAAGAACAAAAAAACAGCCTTTTTAAATTTGTCTAGATAAATTTCTAGCAGCGTCACCGGTTAACTCAACGTTTGTCAGCTAGTTTGTTCAGGTAACTTGGGAAACTGCTCAAGAAAGTAGAACGTACGACGACGTATAGCCGGAGCGTAAACAGCGCTCATTCTACTCGGTCACTGTCCTCATCCATTCCACTACTTAGGGCTGCTCATCAGCTGGTTTATCAAAACACGAGTTTCAATGAACCGGTTAGTCCAGCAAGCAACAATTCTGGGTTTAGATAGTTACGCATGAAACTAAACGAGCGATAAGTTAAATGACCCCAAGTGCTCGAACTTATTCGAACAAAAGCTCCAAGAGCACTTCGAAAAAAAAAACAAAAAACAGGCGGTGTTCGAAGCTCTTGGACGTAAGAGAGATAAAACGCAACATTCAGTAAATAAAAACATAACACAAACTGAACAAGAAAGTGAAAAGAGAGCGTCTTGTGGCGCATGGTCTGACTGCCTCTATAGTCGCCCCTGAAACTGGGTCATTCCACTGAATAATCACAGTCTCGACACGTTACGACATCCTTTTGACAGGAAATCATTAATTGCCAAGCTTTGACTCAGGGCGGCAGAAAAAAAAAACGTCATTTATCACGCCTGACCACCAAAAGCAGTACCATAAAAGAGATCATTACACAAAACAGACCATAAAACACTACGCGAGCGAAAGGCCAGATTTTAGTGCCGACCGGGCCGCCCCAATCCAACGTATAGAAACGTTTTGCGAAAGCCGGGGACAACTACAGAGGGCGTGGTGTCTGAATCGCGACCCGTGTGTGGCTGCAAATTCCAACAGCGGCAAGAATATGCCGTCTATGACAATCGATCACTCGCGTTATACTGGGAAAAAAAGTTAGCAAAAAAGAAGCGAGGTGTGTGCGTCGGGCTGTAATTATTAACTTCGATCACGGCATCCGTGCGCAGATATTTTGCCGTTTTTTTTTTGTTGAAGAGAGACGGGGAAGGCGTAACTGCAGTTTCAGAGATTCATATTCCAGAGAGAACATATAATGAAGACAAGCGTTGCGCGCCGTGAATTCTTCAATTTGGGAGAAAGCATCGTCAAAGGGAAATCACTTACTTAAGGAGGCTTTAGCTGAAAAGCAAATGATCAATTAATCATTGGGCGGCGCAGGGACGAGGTTCGAGCAAACCATAATGGCTGTCAGACTGAACACAAGAGCCTTGTGAATGTAAGTATTTTAGTGCAATTCAAATCTACTCGACGCGCTTATACTCAGAGAACTGAGCAGCCCTCAACCCACGTCGTCGGTATAGGTCCAGCTAGCCCTGAATGTTGTGTGGCATATAGAGCTGACGTTGGGCGCTTGTGTCTCGTTCTCATTGTGTATTTCGGTGTTAATAGTTTTGCGCTTCCTGCAAAGATAGATCTTTACCAACCAGCCCAATCTAATTGTTTATTAATTTGGCAAAAAAGTTGGCTTGGCTTTTTTTTGGGGGGGGGGGGAGGGGTGCCTAACGTTCTCGAGCAACTCGCCCTATGAGACACACTCTACTAGATAGTTCCAGATAATTTCATCCACCTGGGGCTCTTTAACCCGCACTTTCCTCGCTTATTACTGGAACCTCTAACATTTCTCCTCCTTTAAATTGCTGCTGCCACGGCCGGTATTGAATACGCGTCTTTCGGGTAAGGAGCCGAGCACCCCAACCACAGGGTCACTACAGGTGGGTATACGAGGGGAATATCACATTGCGCTAATGTAAGGTTATGTCACGATAATGTTACGTCATGATATAATTATGCGGCACACTGAATGGAGGGCTGCGGAAATTTCGGCCACCCTGGTGATGTTTAGCGTGCACTACCATAGCACAGTAAACGGGCCTCCGGGATTTCGCTTTCGACGAAATGTGTTCGCTGAAGACGAGATCGAGGCTGTGACTTTCGGGTCTCCAGCCGACCACCCAAACCACCGTACCACCAAAGCGGACAGAAACACAGGGCTAGAAACATTTGCACGACACAGCCACTGGTCGTCCGCTGTGCTTCTTAGCGCTTGTGATCGTGAGTACAATCTTCCAACACGCAAATGTAGGCACCAGAAGATCAGCGGGGCCCATGGAGGCTAGAAGCGACGCCACAGTCGATCCCCAGCATTGCTGCTGCTATTCAGCAAAGAATTCATGTGGCTGCCCTACAGGCACCTCACAGCAAGGAAATTTTATTGTTCGTGAACAAAACTTCGGATACGTTCATTCGAACTACCTCCCTCCAGGCGTGGCTAGTTTCCATTCTTTCGCTTTTCTACGTATACTACATCGACTTCTTGGGCATGGCATGCCGGTGCATAGCTTCGTAATATATTTCGCGGCGGATAGCTGTTTCCAATGCATGAATTACTTAAACAGCAGCTATTTTGAACTACTTTATTCCCCCTAACTTTGATTTCGTGAAAGTGCTGTACCGTGTAAATTTGTATATTACATATACAATCTTACAAATAAAGAAACACGCAGATATTTATAAACTATAATAAGAAAAAAATCAGAAAGTTCGAAAGACTGGATGCTTGATTTTGGAAGCAATCATCCAAACAAAAATCGGGAGACCTTTAAATAGCAACGTCCCTCGTTGCAACAATAAACCACGTTGAAAGCACTGAACGCACGATCCTGCCGTGAACCTAAAAAGAAATTTTAATGACTGAACATTCGCATCTATTGCCTCATTATTGTCACCGGTAATGTATAATCAAAGGCGAAGCGTTGATTATGCATTACCGACGCACTGCGCGAAAATTGCGGCAAGACGACGTAAGTGTCCCGACGAATGAATGAACGTTGCACTGTGGTGAGAAGTGCAAGTTGGCACGTAAAGAAAAAACTTTGTGCACCTGTCTTTTTACTCTTTACAGAAGTTGGCCATCAATGTAAAAATGAAATAAATAAGGTAATAAATCAGCGGATTAAGGTAAGTTTCGTGGTTTTACGTGCCAGAGCCGCATTTGATTATGATACAAGCCTCAATTGCGGACTAGTTTGACCTGTTTACGGTCTTCATTTCAAACCTCAGTCTAAGTATATCGCTGTTTTGCATTTCACTTTCTTTGAAATGCGACTGGATATCGAACGCGCATCCTGGAGCCAGTGGCGCAGCCGGGGGTGGTACACCGGACCAGCGCCTCCCTCCCTCCAACCCCCGCCCAGAAACTTTGTTTCGTCGGGGCAGACAGAGCGAAGAAATGACCATTTAAAGGAGTTGCCCCCATCCAAATTAAGGAGGTCCCCATCCCAGCCCCGAAAAAAGCTCTGCCTACGACCCTGCCTCGAACTTAGCAGCTCAACTCCATACTTGGTAAATTAACACGGCTGCATATACAGCCACTATTTACAACATGGACCCTTATTTACTTTACCAGGTATACGGTGATTGGTTTCTGGCTCACGCGTCACGCGTTGGATCCCGGATGCGGCGGCCGAAATTTCGGTGAAGGCGAAACACTGGAGGCCCGTCTACTACGCAGTGTCAGTACACGCTAAACAACACCATATATGACTGAAGTTTCCGGAGCCTTCCGCTAGGGCGTGCCTCACAATCACATCGTGGTTTTGTCACATAAAAGCCCGCAAGGTATTACTATTGTACCAGGACGAAGGCACCATCAGTGTCAAATGAAACCCGAACGGCGGCAATCTTTCGCGATAGTACAGTGCACGCCATCCCCTTTTCACTACGAACAGGCACGCATGTATGCGCAAAGCTGCTGAACAGGATGCGTGCACCTCTGTCAATGGTGATAACTGGACGGCATGCGCTACACTATCGCAAGGCTTACCGCTGTTCGAGTACATTTGACGTTGATAGTACATTCAGAGGACGCCCCCACCCATCACGTGAATCGCTTTTTAACAAAAAAGTGAAAAAGTACAGAACCAAGACAAAGAACTTAGGAGGGAACCATTCCCTATGTAAAGCGTAGAAGATGCAATAACTTGTCAGACAAGACGAAGAAAGCTTTCAGGATGCTCGCATCACTGAAATGGACCACTTTATTTGCATTCAACTGGTACTCAGTTACAAGATCAATAACAATCAGTTTATTATTAATATATTTAGTATTATGTAAGTTGGCTCACGTGACACAATTTTTTTTAATGCAAAGTGATTCATGTG